CAAGTGATCAGCTTGTATAGTGTAATATTGCTCAGTATAGTGTAAGATTCTTCAGTGATCAGGTCTTGAAACCAACAAGTGATCAACTGGGATAGTGTAAGATTGTTGAGTGATCAGGTCTGGAAAGCAACAAGTGATCAGCGGTATAGTGTAAGATCGTTTAGTGATCAGGTATGGCAACCAACAAGTGATCCGCTGGTATAGTGTAAAATTGCTCAGTGATCAGGTATGGAAACCAACAAGTGGTCAGCTGGTATAGTGAAATATTGCTCAGTGATCCGGTCTGGAAAACAACGAGTGATCAGCTGGGATAGGGTAAGATTGTTCAGTGATCGGGTCTGGAAAGCAACAAGTGATCAGCGGTATAGTGTAAGATCGTTTAGTGATCAGGTCTGGAACCCAACAAGTGATCAGCTCGTATAGTGTAAGATTGGCCAGTGATCAGGTCTGGTAACCAACAAGTGATCCGCTGGTATAGTGTAAGATCGTTTAGTGATCAGGTATGGCAACCAACAAGTGATCAGTTGGTATAGTGTAAGATTCTTCAGTGATCAGGTCGGGAAACCAACAAATGGTTAGCTGGTATAGTGTAAGATCGTTTAGTGATCAGGTCCGGAAACCAACAAGTGATCATCTGGTATAGTGCAAGATTGTTTAGGGATCAGGTCTGGAAATCAACAAGTGATCAGCTTGTATAGTGTAAGATTGGCCAGTGATCAGGTCTGGGAACCAACAAGTGATCATCTGGTATAGTGCAAGATTGTTTAGGGATCAGGTCTGGAAATCAACAAGTGATCAGCGGTATAGTGTAAGATTGCGCAGTGATCAGGTCTGGGAACCAACAAGTGATCCGCTGGTATAGTGTAAGATTCTTCAGTGATCAGGTCGGGAAACCAACAAATGATCACCTGGTATAGTGTAAGGTTGTTTAGTGATCAGGCCTGGAAACCAACAAGAGATCAGCTTGTATAGTGTAATATTGCTCAGTGCTCAGGTCTGGAAACCCAACAAGTGATCAGTTGGTATAGTGTAAGATTCTTCAGTGATCAGGTCTTGAAACCAACAAGTGAGCAGCTGGTATAGTGTCAGATTGTTCAGTGATCAGGTCTGGTAACCAACAATTGATCAGCTGGTATATTGTAATATTGCTCAGTATAGTGTAAGATTTCTGAGTGATCAGGTCTGGAAAGCAACAAGTGATCAGCGGTATAGTGTAAGATCGTTTAGTGATCAGGTCTGGTAACCAACAATTGATCAGCTGGTATATTGTAAGATTGTTCATTGATCGGGGCTGGAAACCACCAAGTGATCACCTGGGATAGGGTAAGATTGTTTGGTCATCAGGTCTGGAAACAAACAAGTGATCAGTTGGTATAGTGTAAGATTGCCCAGTGATCAGGTCTGGGAACCAACAAGTGATCAGTTGGTATAGTGTAAGATCGTTTAGTGATCAGGTATGGCAACCAACAAGTGATCCGCTGGTATAGTGTAAGATTTCTGAGTGATCAGGTCTGGGAACCAACAAGTGATCAGCTGGTATAGTGTAAGATTGTTTAGTGATAAGGTATAGGCACCATTTGTTCTGTTTTACAACAAGTGTTATTTCTATAGCAAGGCTTCAACACAAATATTAAATATAAAAATTACTTAAGAAAAGTTCAAGTTCATTACTGTTTTTCCTCCTTTCCATGTATTCAGGAAGTGTCTAGTATTTTATTTGTATATATAGACTCAAGGAAATTGTCCTTATTGTTAACACAAGGAAGTGACCGTGACCTCTAGTGCTTTAGCATTAAATATGCCTGATAATTTAAAACTGTCTGAATGTTTCTTTTGACTGTTTTTATGACTGAATGTTAAAAAACACCTATTGATAAATACAGGGAAACAAAAACAGTGTTAATTTTCCGCTACGTTTTGAAACAGTTGTTTGAATGGGTTGATTTGAGGATTGTTCAACAATAATGTTGACTGATATATATCTGGAACAAATAGCAGATTCAATGTTGGTGAATATATAGCAGTCCTAGGCCACTTTTGCTGGTTTTTTTACTTCATTCACCCCTGAAATTTCATAATGAACTATTCCAACCTTTGAATTGGAAGAGTTCAAATGTGTCATCAGGGGTGAATGAATTAATAAATATGAACACTGGTGAGTGACACGAATACATGTAGTAATGTATACAGGATTTCATATAGCAGTTACAGTAATACATGAAGTATAGTTACAGGAATACATGTAGTATAGTTACAGGAGTACATGTAGTACATGTAGTATAGTTACAGGAACATATGTAGTATAGTTACAGGAATACATAAAGTATAGTTACAGGAACATATGCTGTATAGTTACAGGAATACATGTATTATAGTCACAGGATACTTGAAGTATAGCTACAGGAATACATGTAGTATAGTTACAGGAACATATGTAGTATAGTTACAGGAATACATGAAGTATAGTTATAGGAGCATATGTAGTATAGTTACAGGAATACATAAAGTATAGTTACAGGAATACATACAGTATAGTTATAGGGATACATTTAGTATAGTTATAGGATTACATTTAATATAGTTACAGGAATACATGAAGTATAGTTACAGGAATACATGTAGTATGTTATAGGGAAACATGTAGTATGTTATAGGGATACATGTAGTATAATTACAGGAATACATGTGGTATAGTTACAGTAGTACGTACTACTGTAACTATACTATATGTATCCCTGTAACTATACTACATATAGTATACTACATGTATTCCTGTACTTATTCTATATGTATCCCTGTAACTATACAACATGTACTACATGTAATCCTGTACTTATTCTATATGTATCTCTGTAACTATACAACATGTACTACATGTAATCCTGTACTTATTCTATATGTATCTCTGTAACTATACAACATGTACTACATGTAATCCTGTACTTATTATATATGTATCTCTGTAACTATACTACATGTATACATGTAGTATAGTTACAGGGATACATATATAATAAGTACAGGAATACATGTATTATAGTTACAGGGATAAACATGTAGTATAGTTACAGGGATACATATAGAATAAGTACAGGAATACATGTATTATAGTTACAGGGATAAACATGTAGTATAGTTACAGGGATACATATAGAATAATTACAGGAATACATATATAGTATAGTTACAGGGATACATATAGAATAATTACAGGAATACATATATAGTATAGTTACAGGGATACATGTAGTATAGTTACAGGGATACATATAGAATAATTACAGGAATACATGATGTATAGTTACAGGAATACATGTTAGTATAGGCACAGGATACATGAAATATAGTTACAGGAATACAAGAAGTATTATTACAGGAATACAAGTAGTATAGGTAAAGGGATACATGTAGTTAAGTTACAGTTATACATGTAGTATATAGTCACAGGATACATGAAGTATAACAGGAATACAAGTAGTATATAGTCCCGGGATACATGAAGTATAGTTACAGGAATACAAGTAGTATATAGTCACAGGATACATGAAGTATAACAGGAATACAAGTAGTATATAGTCACAGGATACATGAAGTATAGTTATAGGAATGCATGTAGTATAGTCACAGGAATACAAGTTGTATAGTTACAGGAATACAAATAGTATAGTTACAGGGATACATTTACAGTTACTAGGATACATGTATCAGTCATTTGCACTTGTATCATGTGACTTTGTACGGCTCCAGCTGTTCCCAAGGTATACCCTATATAACCCTATAAACTCAAAATGATTCTCCCAGCACTAGCTACAATCTATTGTTGTTCTTACAGGCCAGCACTACGGCTAAACAGGAGTCGCCTATATCTATGTGAAGCCGATAGCATATGTTACTGTTATGTGAATGTAAAGTACATGTAAACCGCTGACCTACAAATGAACCCTGTATTGACCCAAGCTGTATATAGATTGTTGTAGTGTATGATCCTGAAGCAGAGTCGTATATAGATTATCAGTAAAGCAATAGGTGTATATGAATTAATTTCTAGTTCCAACTGTACATGGAAATTACTGCTTCCATCCGTTGTAAACAATGAACAATTCACACATTTTCACCCAGACTTGTTTATAGATAATTAACTCGTTCACCCCGGAAGACACATTTGAACTCTTCCAATACAAAGGTTGGAATAATTCATTATGACATTTTAGGTGTGAATGAGTTAAGTGTCATTGAATTGTTTGAAGAAACATATGTACATTATGTACAGACATGCGATAGATAGATATAATTATGAAACAGACATCAAGATATGTAGACACACAAAATTAACACAGCGAATACAGATGATTATTGCTAACGTTTTCAAGCTTACAGCCATTACAGGTGATTACATATAATGACTTGGCTACAATTAATAGAAGTTGAAATAGCTTGTTTCATAATTGTTGTAAAATGAATTAAGTTTATATTCTGTGTTACCAATCAAATTAACAAACACAGTTAACTAATGTGTCATGCATTCTTGTGTATATTGATCAGAAAAAAATGAAAATAAAGCACTTTTTGCTAATGTTCCGCTGTAAAACTGGGCAAAAATAAAATCACTGTCACGTTGTAATTAATTGTGCTGTGTCTAATGAACTGTATATATATACAATGACAGTACACTTTGTAATATTCTTAAAGAGATTTTTTGTATAATAATTATATTAAAATGAAAATTCAAAATGCCACCAAAGATATATATTGATCATGATCAATAATAAATACTAGTGCATCCCTTTATTATCATGTATCATATTCATAGCTAACTTATAAAATGTATGTTGATGTATCGCTAGGTGTTTTATGGTATAGTATGTGTCGCATTTAATTAAATCCCCCACTGCCACCACCCCCTTTCATTATATATCAAGATACATTGTATTGAAATATGTATTAGAATTTAAATGATCACCGTGCACGCGATGTACAATTGATCTGTTTGTCATTTTCAGCTGCAGATCAGGATACAATGAGAACCGGTGTACTATCAAACGGAATTATTCCCATGGACCTTCAGACAGTGAAGCTAGACCTTTTCCAGCAACTCTCCAACAACAATCCACAGCATGTTACGGAGATTGAATCAGTGTTTCAACCGTCATCTCCAGTCATCCCCCTACAGACTTCTAATGACCACCCGGCCGCATTGTCCCCAGTAAGGACACTGGCCAATTCGAGTAGTGTTCATTCCAATTCCCCCAGCCCTCCATCTTTCTCACATTCATCGCCCTCCAAGATGGAGGTTACCTTGACCACACCCGTGCATCATAATATACCCGTAAGTATGGCGATGGAAATATCGCACCAACAACAGATTGTTTCTTCGAACAATATGCCAGTGTCGGTGGAAACGTACAGTAGTCCTAGTAATGAGAAAGCTTTCAACATTCATAGTCCGTCAGACAGTTACAGTAGTCCGAACGCCGTGCAAACGTCGTTTAATGTGTCGCCTGCAGCGGAAAATTATTGTAACGAGAGTGTGGAATGTAGCAATGACCTATTGTCATTATCAGATGGGCCCCAACAGAGTAAACCGTTTGCATATCCACATTCAGAGCTACCAACGTTTGGGACTTTGAGTAGTGACGAAATTAAGAAACAATCGGAGCCGCGTTCCACGGGATCAGTGTTACATCAGTTGCTGACGCAAACCAATCAGCCGGATTATTTTGATTTGACTAACACCAGCAGCCCAGATACAATATCGAGTCCAGATTATCCAAACGTAGACTCGCCATCATCATTATCGTCGCCAAACCCAGATCCAAACACACAGGCGACTCTGATTAACCAGACTAACCGGGTGCGGATAGATTCCGATCACGAGTTGCCAGTGCATCCTTTCAAGGATATCTGGAATCTTGGGGACGAGCCTATATGTTCTAAAGGGATAAGAATGGGTCCTGATTCGGACGTTTCAGCCTCGACTATAGACCAAAGTGATGCTACCAAAGTATTTGATGCAGATGCTGCGAATCCAAAGTTTGTGTTTCAAAAGTTCGGAAAGCAAGAGGACAATACGGATTTATTCAATGTTTCTAGTATTAAGGCGGATAGTCCAACGATACCACAGTAAGTAATATTAAGTTGGTCACCCCTAAAGTTACATTTGAACCTGACCAAATCAAAGACTGGGCAAGTCCAGCTTAAATATGTAGGGGTAAATAAGTTAAGTCTGTAACCATATGCATGTGACTATCAATTGACTTGATTGTACTGTATTACGCTAATACATATATACCTACAATTTTTTTTTATTAGTTTGCTATAGCTATAGTGCCAAGATTATTAAATTTCATTTCATTAGTGGTGTTAATGTACAGTTCAACAAGCCTGGTGCCCAGGAAAGAAGGTTTTACTTTGGGGGGCTAATTTTGAAATATTTCAAAAATATGAACTAAGAAAAAAAAGGTTGAATTTAGTAGAATTTTTTAAAACGTTTGTGGGGGCTACTTTTATAGAAATGAGATTATGTATCCAATTACGCTAGAGTCTGTTTGTGATGTAGATCTGTATGATCTATTTTTAGTTCACCGGAGGATACGGACATGCCTCCACCGAAGGCAGTCGTGGTGACCCGTTCACAGACACACAGCAAGCGGGTGAAGGAGCCGAGTCTAAACCAGAATTACCCTGCCAAATCGGGTGGTTACGAAGTGCAGATTATCCAACAGCCCGAGGAGCAGCACCGAGCCCGCTACCTTACCGAGGGCAGCAGGGGCGCTGTCAAGAACCGCTCCCAAGATAGTCATCCCATGGTCAAGGTAAAGGACGCCACTTACAATATAGGTCAAGGCCATTCTGATGCTGCGAACACTCTCACTTTAATGCACACAAATGTTAGCATGTTATCAAAATTTAACATTATATAGTGCATTGATGAAATTGCACACAGACAATATATACTGTATAGATACCTGAAAACCTTTGCCCAGTCAAACTTTCTCCCTCCACCCATGAAATCAACTTTCGATAAGTTTTAATTTCGCCCTTTGCATTTAATTACTATGTTTTTATGCAGTTTACTTATATTCACTGTAATGATAACGGAGAAAGAACAAAGCCAAAAAAATAAAATGAAACAAAAATGTTGAAGGGAGCAGATACAATTTTGACTGCTTTTTGCTTCATTCTTAATAATAAAAATAATAATGAAATCTTATATTTAGACAGGGTTACATTTTTAGATTTACATCTAATTTACAATATGGCCCTGTAATACACAATTTACAATGGACATGATAATGACATACTGTATAAATAGATAATAACAATATCACATGTGCAGATCCTGACGAGTATAAAACTATTCGTCACATCGAGAACAGTTTCTACTGCAGGTATTCCGTCTTAAAAAGACACAAACTAGGTAAAAATTTGGAGTGATCATGAGGTTTCTAAATTGGTCCATAAAATTATCACATCTATAGAAGCTTCTACTGGTATACCTTATTTACTCATTCACCCCTGAAATTTCATAATGTGCTATTCCAACCTTTGAATTGGACGAGTTAAAATGTGTTTCCAGGGGCGAATGAGTCAAAATACTCTAGACTAGGTCTTATGATCTGCTACCATTGAAATAAATCAGTTATTTTGAATGTATCCATGTCACGTTTGTTGTTTACTTGATGTCACATCTTGTCTTCAGCTGTTTGGAAACACCGACTCGGCAGTGTTACAAGTATTCATTGGGAATGACGCTGGGAAAACAAGACCGCACGGCTTTTACCAGGCATGTCGTGTATGTGGGAAGAACTCGACTCCGGCGAGAGAAAAGGATATAGACGGCACCACTGTGATAGAGATGGATCTTACGCCAGCCAATGATATGACTGTCATGTAAGTACCTCTCGTCACGCCTGTCAAACTACGCATCGTCTGGATTGAGACACTCGGCTCATTTTCAAACTGATTTATTTTGAGAATACATGTTCCTTTAAACCTTTATCATTTTAAAAATTGTGGGGGAAAAAATATGCTTGCATGTCAAAGACCCGAGTTTGTTGAAAATTTGATGTGAAATGTTTGCAAACAAATAATCGTATGATCACTGAAGGAAACATGTTCATGCTGGCTTCCTGAAAAAGGAGAAATGTTTGTAAACAAACAATCGCAGGTGTGCATAAAGCAACTTAATTTGTGGGTGAAGAAAACCTGTTTATGCAGGCTTTGAATTTTATTGTTGATCAATTATAGTTCTGTATCTCCCTTAGAAACTTCAATAAACAGACTATAAATACATGTAATTGATTTTTATTTGAATTGAAAATGTGTTGAGTGTAACATCCTGAAAAAAAGACCAAGGAATTGGAATAACTTGTATCCTCACGGACACGTATCTGGGTATATACATTTAAACCATCTTTCGAAGCTTTGTGTGTGACACCATTCTGGTGTCACACATCTAGCCTTGTTAAAACAAGATATTTCATACACTGACAAGAAAAGTTATCTGAAAAAAATCTGTTGCTTTCCAACATTTTGTCAAAAGAAATATGGTAAAAATCAATCCTTTTCAGATTTTTGTTTCCATGTGAACTGCCTTGTTTAAGTATCTGTCAGTCAATAAGCATATGTTTATTTACAGGATCGACAATGTTGGAATCCTAAAATTGAGAAATGCAGATGTTGAACAAAGAATTGGATTGACGAAAGCCAAGAAAAAGAGCACCAAAGCCCGCATGATATTCCGTGTGGTGTTTAAGAAGGCTGACGGAAACACCCAGACCCTGCAGATATCCTCCAGTACGATATTGTGCAGTAAGTATCTCCGCAGGTTATAGTTCCCACGAAAATCAGGATGGCCCATCATACATATAGTGTTACACTGTCGAGCTTCGGTCCTTAGGCTTTGAATTCACCTGCAGGTATAAACTTCTTCGTCTTTACAGATTTTTGAATTGGGCAAAAAGCTAAACAGTGGTAATATATTCCTAGTCTACAGTAAATCTCGCTAATCTGTACTCCCTCCTTCCTGGTGATTTACATATTGTATAAACAGCCAAACTTAACGGGACCATCAGGGAAAAATTTGATATTTCGAAACCCTGACTCACGAATGTTGAATTTCGAATATCTTAGAGATCCTGTATATACTGCTCAAGACCAAATATGATCGTGAAGAGACGGAACACAAGGCAAGAAATTCAATTCTAAATCTATAAATATTTATTGAAACGATTATAGTTTGAAACAGCAAGAAATTCAACTCATAAAAGTTTCATTCATAAATGAATAAACTCTAGTGTGATATAGGAGAAAAAGAAGACTTTATCGTAAGCTTGACACTTAGAGAAATTTGAATCTTCGAAGTTCAATTTATGAAAGTTTGACAGAATTATCTTCACGCACCAGAAGAGATTATTTTCCAAGTTGACAAGCTCGGAGCATGATCAACTTTCGAATTACATGTATATTGAAATTACAGAGTAAAACAGTGTATTTAATGTCCACATTGAGCCTGTATTGTATGGGAAATATGTTAGAAATAGTTTTGTATTTCATAATATTAAGAAAAGTTTCAGGTGAAATGTTTGACTTACATGTAACTGACAAATGCTATGAAATTATACCTAGATATTGATTGTGGTGTTGTAAAACTTGATCCAAATAATTCTTTATAATGCAAAATTCAACCTGTTCTACCAACAAAGTTTTCACACTCGGCTGGCCTCTAAAGACAAATAATATAACCAAGTGTTAAAATTTGCATAAATATATTCACTTATCAGTACTGCTAAACTCACTAATTGATAATTTATAAACATTTTGCTTTGTGTTAGATTCCAGATATCCACTGAAAAGGAACGAAAATGATTAGGAAGATAACTGTTTTATTGTCTTGCACTTACTGTACATGTCTTTACCGTATTTATCCAGGAATAGGCCCATGCCTGGCAATATGTTATTGCAATTAAGTAAATACAAACAAATGCTATTCCATTTTCCTTTAATAAGCCTAATGTAAGTTCAAGAGATGATGCATCCTCGATACTCCAGAGGTTATGTATACGCTCACTTACGTTCACTGCACCCCAGGAATATATCATAGCAAAATCGAAGGCACACGATTAGGTGTTTGATTGGTCTCGGGCAAAATAAACCGACCAATCACTAGGCCGATACCTGACCTTTTAAGATTACAGAGGAGCGTCTCCCGACTTCGAAGTCAACTACGTCCATTGTCCCTTAGGCAACTGTGAGATTCTTTTGATGTATATCAAATGATCAAACTAGTTTTCACGTCTCATCCACAAGGTGGCCACGCACACCAAGCCCTCAATTTTGCTATCACATATTCCAGGGGTGTACAGAGCGAAAGTGAACGTAACCCCTGGAGTATGGAAGATAGAGAGTATGTGGTGGTCTCCTGGGGTTACTGCAGGACAAAAGTACTGTAATATCATGACACTGCTGCCTTGTAATACAATGTCTTTAACAAATACACCGTAATAAATCATGACGCAGATGTCTGCCACTTTTTCTCACAGAAGTTACTGGTAGGTCATTATACATGTGTCATTATTATACAATGGCAAAATTTTTATGAATGAATTTGAATGAAAAACCCATAATGTCTGAAAAAACAGATTGTAAATATCATAAAAGTTCATTAATGCACCTTGTGGAGTTAAAATTGGCTGGCATTCATGCTTATAGTTTAACCTTTTCACCCCTAGGTAATTTTAGTAGACTCTATACCATACATTTATCTGGGTGAGTCCATTAAAGACAACAGTGGTGAAAGGGTTAATTAACCAATGTTTGCTGTCATGAGAATATTTTATAACATAAATAAAATTAAAACTGACAAGCTGCATTCAGGCTTATGTTTAAACCAATGTTTGCTGTCAGGAGAAAATTTCATAACATTTATACAGTAATTTAAAAAATGATTTATTATAAGTATCTTAAACATAATTGATAACGAGTATCTTGTAGAGCTACATGTAAAAATTGATAAGACTGTCTTTGATCTGAGACGACCATATTGGAAGCACATGTTTTCATGCCGAACGCTAATATGTTGAACTTGGCAAAATTACATTTTTCAATTAGTTTTGCAAGTTATTCGGATTGGAAAGTGTAAGTATCCCTTGGAATGCATTTGAAGTCTGCCTGAATGATGAGCAAGCACTAGGCATGCGTGTCATCAATTTAATTATGCCTGGTAAACATGTAAACACCGATTCATCTCTGATACAAGATGCTGGGAAACTGATACCTAGCTGTGGATGCAGCTTATATAATTATAAAGTTTTAATACTACCCATCAAATTTGAATCGGAAGGAATTCTAGAGTAAAGGATAAAGAAGAGTGTGGTTTTTTTTTATAGTGTTTCATCATAAAAATGCAAAATGTCATAGACATTCCAATGTGTTAATGTAATTTTGAAACAAGTTATAAAATTAATTGAATTTTATTGTTGGCCTGGATGGAAGTTCGTTGGTAATCTTACATGCATTAGAAACATCGAATGTTAGTCTTCATATAAAAGGTGACATTGAAAATAAAAAATAAATAAAAAAACCTGGTAGATTTTCAAATTTTGTGAAAAAAACATGAATTTTAAATGAGGGATAGGTTGATATTTGACCACAAAATTTGGTGAGAGCTTATTTTATAATTACACTGGTGTACATGTACATCTTTGTATTACGGTAGATAATAATAATAAAACGTGTTACCTTATTCACCCCTACATATTGAAATTAAACTTGCCCTGTCTTTGATATTCTTCGGTTCAAATGTGCCTTAAGGGATGAATGGGTTAAAAGTGATTTATGAAAAATTATAATAACATACTGGAATACATTGTCTATATGTTATGCTCCACAGAGACCAAAATGGCTTTAATGCGGAGGGGAGTAACTAATACATTAAGGAGTATTTTGGCATATACAATCTGTTATAAACTGCTGCAGGGGTGTTATTTAGAATGAATGGAAATGCCTTCTATAAGCTAGCTGGGCAGGTGTGTAGTTAACACTAGCCAGGGTTTAAGCGGGATTATGAGAGGAGCCAGACCCTACATGTATTGATCATGAGCCGTCTGTATATATATGTGCCGGATCACAGAGGCACCGACACAACAACCAGATCAGAGAAAGTTAACCACCAGATCAGAGAAAGTTAACGGTGCTGTGTTAACATAGGCTTTTTATAGGGCGTACATGTGCAGTCTGTCTGCTGTCAAGTGTCTGAGATGGTGATGTGTTACTGTACATGTATATCCCAACTATGTCTGGGAGGAGCTCCGAAAGGCAGCAGATGAGTGTCTATTAACAGAGAGCACTCTTAGATGTGTTGTAATCATTAACTCATTCACCCCTGAAGACACATATGAACTCTTCCAGTTCAAAGGTCGGAATAGTTCATTATGAAATTTCAGGGGTGAATGAGTTAATAGCAATACCCGCAATCAAAAAAAAGGTTATTTCATTAAAGTCAATGACATTTGAATCTAAAAATTCATGAATATTATATTTATAATATGAATATTAATTTTGCCTTTAATTATATATTAACTCACATATTAAAGTAATTATTTAATATTTTATTTATGAATTCATGTAAACAATGAAAAGGTGCCAGTTTATTAAAATTGTAGTAATTAGCTTAACTTGCACATTGGATAGAACAGACTTGACTGTTTAACACTGTTTGGTAAATGTGTAATCTTAATTGATAGAAGATCTATATCTTAGAGTACAGATGTAGTGTTCAATCAATGTCAGTGTGCGTCATGACCATGCACTCTTAAACAACATATAGTCAAATTTTTTGTTCTTAAATTTTGATTCCACCAATGAAACAGTTAATATTAGTAAAAGTCATAGTAATTAATGCCTATGTTTAATTTGAAGGTATAAATCCTACCAATTCTGAAGATCCTCTAATACACTGAGATTATAATATTCCTGTTTCTACTTTTGCCCATCAACATCTACATGTAACTTTAATATAAGGATTGAGCAGGATTTTTTTTGTAATTTCATGCTCGCATAAACATTGAAAAAATGCCATTCAATCCTCGTGTTATGACTTTTAAGTTATTATTGACCCAAACACAGATATTCCCTTACGTTTTCAATATTGAAGTCTCTATGTCATGAGTGCAAATGAGATTTATGGGAAAGCTTGCACCGCCAACAATGTTTGCTACTAATGGTTATCTCATGGCGAGAGAAGAAGGTTCAAAATGACACTGATCAAATTGCATTTATAGTTCTATGAATGTAGTTTCTTCAAAGTAATGGTTATAGAGGAACTCACATTGAAAATGTAAATATATATATGTTAACTCACCCCAGAGGACACATTTGAACTATTCCAATTCAATGGTTCGAATAGTTTATTATAAAATTTCAGGGGTGAATGAGTAAAGATAATTTTGGGGAACACTGATTGTCTATAACCTTACTTCCAACAGCTCAACCCGTCGGACAGCCAGAGATCTGTAAGATGAGCCATAGCGAATGGTCAGTTGAGGGCAAAGAGGAACTCTTCCTTATCGGCAAAAACTTCATCAAGGGTACGAGGGTGATGTTCCGCGAGATGCAGGATGACATGCAGGTGCTGTGGGAGAAGGAAGGAGAGATTGATAAAGATTACTTCCAGCCTGTGCGTATTATTCATTCTCTCGCTCATTTATATTCTAATTTATGTTGAGTGTTTCACCGACAACACAGCGCCGAGTTACAAGCTTTATTTAGTCATTTGCCAGATCTATGTCATATTCCATCAATTAAACGCTCTACAACTAATTGTTCTCGCCACGGGCGATTCACAAGGTGTTTATTTTCCATAAAACACTTCTCGATATCAAGATCTAGACGTTGCAGTGGAAGGGGCATAACTCCTGCAGACTTGCTAGCTTCTTAGCTACTGAAATATCAAGCTAATATTTGTTATTAAATACTGATACATGTATATGTCTTACCTCCACAGAGGCTGGAGACTGGTCTTTACCACAGTAAATGAAAATTCAAGATACATGTTTTCCATACTGGCCAACTCTCCCTATTTTGGAGGGAGACTCACTATTTTTGACCCCAAAATTGAGCATTTATAACCAGTGAATTTGCTAAACTATTCCTATTTGCTAAGATCTGATGATTTAATCTGAAAGAACAGTTGAAAAGATGCCATTTACAAGTGCTATTTTCTCCTAGGGTGTACATACACACTTTTAATTTATACTTTTAATACTGAGCACGCTCAAACTCCCCCATGGAAGGCAAGTGCGATGTTTTCTCGAGTAAGATGCATGTTTTCTCAAGAGTTTATAAGAAGTACGGCATGATAAATCATCTGTTAAAGCGATATATTCTCCTATTTGCAATGGATAAATATTAATAATTGCTTTTCATTTCTTTTAATTCACGGAACATTTTTTCAATAAACAGACCCATTTGATCTGTACAATACCAGCGTATAAGGACACCAGCGTGACCAAGCTGGTTCCGGTCCAGATCGTGGTGCAGAGTGCCGGCAAACAAAGCGACCCCCAGAAGTTTGTGTATACACCTGGTATGTTTTTGTCCGTTACTGAGCCTCACTATGAATCTCTACATAGCCATCGACCTTTCTCAAGGCTCCTTGATACTGTGAGGGGGATAGGTACTGTAGGTGTTAACTTAAATGTCGTGACAGATATTTTCTTGTTTCAAACCTACAGAAGATCTTTAATAGTTGTGAACATCTCAACTGTGCTGTGTCTGTAATTCTATTCAAACGAAATATTTTATAAATATATATTTGTCGGGGAAAAGAAATTCGGTGAAATATTTCAATAAATTGTCATAAAAGACAATTTCTCTTGTGATACTTTTGATCATCACAGCAGATAATGATAGAAATGTGCTTCAGTTGTTCATGTATCTGAAAGAATTTGATACAGTTAAAACAAAATCCATCAATAATTTGTAAGGAAAGTAAAAGAAATATGCAATACATGTTTTTATTAATTTTTGCCAAGTTTTCATGTTGGTATGTGTGCGAAAAACTAGCTGAGGGTCACTGCATATGGTCAGATCAACTTGTCTTGTGAGAATTTTGTGCCAGCAAGCTTTTTTCTTTATTTTCAATGTGTGAGTCTTTTTTTTTTCTCTCAACATAAACCAAGGTATCGTGGAATATTAAACATGTCTTCCCAGCTTTCTTAATCAGTGCATGTTGTGTGAAGAAAAAAAATCAACAAAAAGAATTTGACATTGTTTCGCCATATGCAGCTTGTAGAGCAAACCTGACTCCGGGGAGAAATGTTTCCCGAATTTTTTTCCATTCGCTCGTGCCAACATGAAAGCGAGAATCCTTTTTTGTAAGGATATATAGATCATCTAGTTATAAATTGTAGCCCTCACAGTATCCAGGAGGTTTAGTGCTGACCGTCTGCCTGTAGGGGAGACCTGAATTGAAAGCTCCACCAAACGTACTTATAGTTCGAAGAAATTCTAGGATTTCTCTTCGTATTGGAAGAGATGAATCTAAAAATAACCATCCATCTCGAAGATGGTGTTTCTTTTCACGTTTGGTTGCTAGGGTGGCGGCGGTTAGCAGGATTGGTTTAATGTCGGAAGATACCTCAAATTGCACATTGTCTGACGTATTTTTTTAATTTTTTTTCATTTTAAGTTTTGGCAACTTTTCAGCTTATGAAAAGAAAGAAATGTTTCAATTGTTTGCTGTCTTAAAGAAAAAAAATGAAATAATTTCTCTATTGGTAAATTTGGAGGCAACAAATCAAAAAATGAAATTTGTATACATACATGTGCATCTGGTATAGGAAAATACCAGAGATAAAGAATGAAAATTTTAAAAAGTTTAGAGGAATGGGCAATAAACCTATATTTTGGTGGAATGACATGAGTTGTATATATGAGGTGTGTTTGACATTCTCTAAATAACCATTTGTTAAAATTTTCTTGGTTTTTCAAGGCATCCATGCTCAGGCACATATTGTGTTGGTATATACCATGTTGATAATTCTACTTAGCTTTCAGCGTTTTCCTGCCAATTTTTTAAAATTTAAATCTGCTAAATACAGAAATAAAAATTAAAATTCAATTTTTAAAATGAAACATTGGTAAGTTGCTTACACTGTTTGATCAGTAAGGAGTGGCAAATGATATTTGTCACAATATCACTGACGACCCTGATAGGTATAATTTATACAACAGAAACCTGTCTTAAATAAAGCACACCTTGAATACTGTGAAAACCTGTGATATCTGCACTCTGAAAACCTGGCCAAACTGAACACACAATACTGCATAAACCTGGCCAAAATAAACCCACATTACTGCATATAATTGTCCAAATAAACCCAAGAATACTGCATAAATCTGTCCAAAAACTGACCCCACAATACTGCATAACCTATCTAAACTGAGGTTCCCACAATGCTGCATAATCCGTCCAAACTGAGGTTCGAACAATGCTGCATAAATCGGTCCAAACTGAGGTTCCCACAATGCTGCATAATCCGTCCAAACTGAGGTTCCCACAATGCTGCATTAATCGGTCCAAACTGAGGTTCCCACAATGCTGCATAAATCGGTCCAAACTGAGATTCGCACAATGCTGCATAATCCGTCCAAACTGAGGTTCCCACAATGCTGCATTAATCAGTCCAAACTGAGGTTCCCACTATGCTGCATAAATCCGTCCAAATTGTCCACAATCCCACAATACTGCATAAATCCGTTTATAAATTTGGTAAATTTGAAACATTAAATTTTCCATTTGTTACATTTGAAAGTGCAATGATGAAATTACAAATTTGTTGTACGAGAGCTTTCAAAACATAGAACTTAAAAAAATAAAAAAAATAAAAAATCTTTTTAAAACATTAGAAATAAATAATTAAAAAAACACGGTGTTGTGGGGGTAGGGGAACCAAAAAAATTGGCAGGAAAACCATTTTTATGTGTATTGAACACGGATGCCATCATAAACATTGAATTTGTCATGATTGGGCGGAGCTTGACAATGTTTACTACGTATACGTCAAGTACAGTTCAGGAAGTGAATGACAGAGGTAAATAAAACCAGGCCATTTTTGTTCTTAACTCTTACACCATGCATACTGGCCTGGGCAGGCTGGCTGGACGACCTGATCATTGGCAAATACAAAATTACTTCCCTGCTTAAGTGTACTCTGATAGTTGTAGACTGGAATTTTTTTCTCTCTTGTTTTTGTCAGTTTTAGTTATTGCTAATTAATGAAACGGGGATTCTAAAATATGTCTTAACTCATTCACCCCCTGAAATTTCATAATGACCTATTCCAACCTTTGAATTTGGAGAGTTCAGATGTGTCTTCAGGGGTGAGTGAGTTAAATCATCTCAAAGTAGCATAATTTCAAAATGGATGTAATTATTGGATATGTAATAATATAAGCTTTTGTGGCATCTTATTTTGAAACATAAGCATTAGACATTGATAAGCTATGATTTGTCATAAAATAATTATTATTGAAGACATTTCCAATTTGATGTTAACTTTTTCAATATCAGGTTAGAAATCACCCGTTAATACAGGTAATTGAGCCGTAAGGGTGTCTATCAGAGTACAATGATTCTGTTTTGGCCACAAAATTTGTTAGGATTAATTAATTTGAATACGAACATCGACAAGATGTTGATGGGATGTTGTTATTGTTCTTGTCCTCGTTATAAGGTAGGAACAAGCCTCATTGTGTAGGCTCAGCCTGTACCCTTGCTTGTGGCCAAGTGTTGATGAATCTATACACACAAAACGTTGTCGCACACACAGCCTGTATTAGCTACACGAATACAAAATAGGATTGTTGCCTCATCTCATCAGCATATTTACAGTGCATTTGTAATTTTTGAATGTCATATTAGTTTTCATCATGTGGGTTGGAAGTACTTACGGGTTGGGAAGGCAGCGACAATTTCCCCAAGACTGGCCTTTGGTCGAGGTAACTTCAGTTTCGAGAACTGTTTTCATCTTTCTGTCCGACGCAACGCTTACCTGTTTTTGCACCCTAGTTTCTGTAGTGAAGATTTTAAGTGTATATATCTGTGTATGCGGCAAACCCTGTATATTTGACTGAAGTCACTTTTGCTACCCGTCCATAGCCGCTGGGGAGATTGTTGACGCCTGCCCAAGTGTCTCGGCCACAAGCAAGCTGATTATATACATCTACAATCCCCCTCTACATGTTCAGGGAAACTGCACTACTGAGATATAGGAGGTCATAAAAAAAAAATCTAGAAGGAACAGGTCCACACTAAAACAGTAGGTAACATTTGGGCAGTTTTGAGCCGAGACTGCCGATGGGTAGGTTGCTTCTCTCCGCCCCCCGCTCGGACAGCCTTTGTACGGTCTGTGTTAGGTAGGAAATCCCACCTTCTCAGTGCGGAGTTTCCCTGAATCCATGTACACCTAGTGAACCAGGTTCCTCCAGTCTTGCTCAGGGTACGTTTTTCTCCTAAAAACAACGGGAAAACTTTTTGTAACAAACATTTGAATGGGGATCTCGGGCGGGAAATGTGCTAACATGTTGTGAATGTGATCTTCCCTTAGACATTCTTCTCCGGAAACAAGGCTGAATGAATTGTATGCAGTTGTCCTGTCAGTGACCTTGAACGACCTTTCTAGGTCATGACCTTGAGGACATTTGTTGACTGGTTCCAGTCAGTCCAATTCAACAGGTTGTTTGCACATTTAGTCCACTGGTTATCATGACTGCCTTGGTACTACTTCCTAAGCTAGCAAAGGGGATCATAGATCTAGAACAGTTACCACAAATTAAAAAAATATGATGTCTTTTAAAGGTAAATGAAGGGAAAACAGTAAAACCTGCTGAACTTAAACTGAAATTAGGATCAGAAAGTTATCATTTACCATTGGAGACACATTTGGACTCTTCCAATTCAAAGGTTGGAATAGTTCGTTATGTAATTTCAGGGGTGAATGAGTTAATTTTTCGCCCGCCATAATGAGGGGAAATTTATCATCGCAGCGAACAATTAGTGAGTAACATAATATACATAGTATTTAAATGTGAAGGGCGAAATTAAAGCCGGGCGAATATGGATTTTACCGACAAAGGGCGAAAGTTGGACTGGACGAAAATTTCAAATCAGCAGGTCCAGAAAATGATTATCGAGGTGGTCTAGCTGGAACTCTACGCAGTCAGATAATCGTTATTAGGATTATCTAATATCAGGACCAGAAACTAAATAACTTGTTGGTCTAGCTGGAACTCTACGCAGTCAGATAATCGTTATTAGGATGATCTAATATCAGGACCAGAAATTAAATAACTTGTAGGTCTAGCTGGAGCTCTATGCAGTCAGATAATCGTTATTAGGATGATCTAACATCAGGACCAGAAATTAAATAACTTGTAGGTCTAGCTGGAACTTTTGGGACCAGAAATGATGTCATCATCAGAATCAGGAAAAAAATGTTTTCTGGATAGTCTAGCTAACCAAGTTTTGGTAGCCTGTAATTCGTCGCAGGTTTAATTTGCACCTTATTGGAAATATGCACTGAATGCTAATTCAAATGCAGTTATATTTCATTTAGCGATTTTCATTAGCTTTGGTAATTGTTCAGCACAAAAACAGGTGTATCAGTGCCATGTTCATACATTGGTGAAATCAGAGGTGAGAAAAACCACAGTTGGATGTTTCATATTTACTCCATGTGTGGTATTTGAGATTCGGAGGATTTATAGCTGAGGGTCAGGGCTGAGCCATCTGTATAACTGTTAAAAAAGGGTAATTCTGTAATCGGTGTTTGACACAGCTGGGTTGATTCGCTGTCGTTTTTATAGATAAATGCCGGAGTCTAGGGGCTGTATTCATGAAACCATTCTCATGCTCAAACTCAGATTCTGTGCTCAAGCCCAAGATCTTGTTTCCGTGATAAATGAATAGACAAAAATCATATTTTGTCAATAATGTGCAAGAATTTGGAGAAACTCAAAGCCAAATACGGTTTTTAATGTAAACACTTGCCTTTGACTGTGTTACACGATTTAAGCGAGTTTGTTTAAAAAAAGTTGGCTTGAGGGCAGAATTCGTGCTACATTATGAGAACATTTTCACGAAAAACGGGGTTAAAAAATTGTGCTTGAGCGCAGAATTCGTGCTACATTATGAGAACATTTTCACGGATACAGGCCCATGGTGACCTGTTGGAGTAAGATGTTGCCTTTTAGACTTGGTTTAAGTTAAGCAGGTTCTACTGTATAAAAATTCAAAGGTAAACGGGGAGCTGGTATTCATTCTAATTTCTCAAGGAGTAAAACGTATCAGTATTGCATAACTTGTCCCTTTTTTGCCATAATGAAATGAATTGCCTAACGTATTGCATTTAGTTTGAAAACCAATTTTAGGTGCCTTCCTCCAAAGTTTGTTTCTGTCCCAGTACTTGTAAACCTACAATAACCGTTCTCAGATTGTAGACTTATATAGACCGGGGCTCAACTTCTTGTGTCTGTTGTACTTAACCTCTATGAGATATTTAAACAGGAAGGTCTACTTCGTGTCAGACACTGGGTTCGGGGGGTTGGGCGCCAATTATTCAATCATGTTATGTATAACCAAACCTGTTGTGTATTTGATAATATAATATTTATATATTTATATATATATATAATGTGTCATCTTGTTATGAAATGTTTTTTCACAATTTTCTGCTGTATTGTTTCAAAATCATATGAAAAGGTACAATTTTACACAATAAAAGGAATTTCCACACTCAAGTTATTACATGATAAACATGATAAGAGAAAGCTTTGTCTTTTCCACAGATGAATACAAATGTCTTTTGAATGACTCCATTTCATTTATTGTTCATTTCTTTCAAATTTGGAACTTTTCTTTTTTTTTGAAATTCTTGCGGTAATAAAAATGCAAATTTAAAGTGATAGTCATAGACAACTTCATAATTATGCGATGCTAACAGAAGAAGATCTGTGGTTGATTCGCAAAAAATCCTGAGTTATCTCCCCTTTCACTCAATGGTTGCATCATATGAAACAAGGAGTGTGTTGAACGCATCCTTTGGTTTCCTGGCGATAGTTTACAGGAGAGCAAGGGAGGTAATTCATTACTAAATACATCTCCTTCTGTGGAGAGCTAACATACATCCATACACTTGAGGGTTTGGTGTAAGGGGAGGTAACTGGTATTATAACCTCGGATTTTCTTTTGCTTATCGTCGCTTTAAAATAGGATAGGATGACATGTCAAAAAATACTGAAAGTCTTTAAAGATTGTAGGCGATAACGGTTATACACATTTGTATTATTTATCATGTGGAAAGGCATCTCTTCTTACACACGGCTCCATGCAGAAACGAATATATTCTTTTACACGCTATATATAAAAAATCAATGAGAAATCGACAGCATGTACATACACGTTATTTCAGTAAGTGTTAGGTACTGCTTCATTGCTTGTGTCCCGACATTTAGTCATCTGAAAGTCCAAATTGGTCTTGCTGTGTGTTGGCATGCTAATTAATACCCTGTCGGTCGTGTTAGTCGCAAACGCCAGTGTTATGTTACTGGCCATCCTTAACTTAGATGTGCCCTATAGTTCGTTAATTATTCATCGAGATTATTTCACTCATTCACCCCTGAAATTTCATAATGAACTATTCCAACCTATGAATTGGAAGAGTTCAAATGTGTCTTCAGGGATGAATGAGTTAATACGCTTCGAATACATTATCATAGGTATTTGATTGTTGTAATGATCATCATTATTTTTAAAATGTTTTTTTTTTTTTTTTTAAATGAGATAAGCTTACCAACCCAATTTGAAGTAATCAATATCATTTTGAAGATAATTAATTAACATACAAGAAAAATAACATGTTTTTTTTATGTTTTAGTAGAAATCTAGATTTGTCAATGAACAAATACCAAAATATGTGTATTTCAAAATGGCTGTTAAAACTGTCCACAACGCAAGGTGCCTACAAATCGGGATCATGACCTGTATGAAAAAATCTAAAATAAGTAATTGATTAAAAAATTACGTAGAAGATTTGTTTAAATTTAAGTAATTATGAATAATTACTTTAGCCCCCATTACGTGTCGGCCTTGCCTATCGGGAAGTAAATATCTTTTCCTCCTTACTGTTTGATGTTGTGGCCCCACTCCCCCAACTGTCTTGTATTGTGATGTTGAACGTTTTTTGATGCTGAAATAATTAACCATTTGCTGTAAATTCACAGGATATTTATTATTCATAAATTAGTATTTATGAATTAAAGACAAAGTCAAAACATATTCTTCTGTAAACAGTGCTCAGAGAACTGTCCATATATATATATACATATGTCGCATGTACATCAATTTTCTCGATACTTTGTTAGAAATCTCTAGTTTGAAATGTAACAGATAACATATATTTTAGAAAAAGATATTTTTTGGCCAGTTTTGAATATTTTGTACATCTCTATAGAATATTTTTTGTTTCTCTCAATTTAGGTTATTTACCAGTTATTTAATTTTATAGAAAATGTCTACAGTCACTTGTGTCAAATAATTGTGTATAGGAGATCCTATGGGTTTAAGGATATAGCTGAGTGTTTGTATGTGTGTGTGTGTCCCTGTAACTTCTGTTCTTACTGGCTGTGGACTGAACAATTCTGCTGAACTTTGCTTCTTGTATGTGTGTGCATACACATCTACTCAGAGTATCTCTTTTATCTATAATCGGACAAATTTTATATATAGACCCAAGACAACATTACTTCCTCCTCCGTAGGTGTTTTTTTTAATTATTGGTTATGTGTAAATTATTTAACAGAGGGTAATATCAGTCTTCATGACTGACCTGAATTTTCAATGAGGAAATTGAATTGTTGGGTAGTTCATGTAGTGGTTTTATTGTTGTCTGAGAGGTTTATATTTGCATCAATTTGTAACGCGACTCGCAGATTCAAATCTTATATTAATATTAATAGAAATATTAATTCTGTAGATAATTGCTTTCAATATATTGAAGTAATTGCAAATAAATCTGTTACAGTTGGAGAAATTAAGTACACAAGAAAATCAAGTAATTTACATTCCCCAAAGTCCATCCAAGCTAAATTTCATATTTCACTACTTGTGTAATATTTATATATTACCTGTACCTCCACACCCCACCCAAAACAAAGGACCCGGGTAAGGGGTTGCTGATGAAAAGTTTCTGCTAACCAAAATTAAAATTCTGTACTGACCTGCACTGGATACCTGACAAGAGTTTCTTACGGGAATGTCTCTATAGTTATCTCCCTTTTTTATAACCTGGGCCGCTTTCGTTTATCGTGATCCAAATGGTTGAACCGGTTGGACTAGAGTTGTTGTCTATGAAATAAGGTCGGACCTAGTAATATGATGATGCTCTTATAGACAAGCTTTGACAAAACCTTGCAAGGCCTGCATCAATATTTGCAGGTCCACCAGGAATTATACCCAAAAAAGTCACACTTAAAAACAGACAAACCGGTTGTTCCGCATAAACGAACAGGCCCTTGGTGATGCTACGTATTTTGTTGTTGAAGTGACAGGTCTTTCTATCCTGCACCATGCATTTCCCCGTTGACACAATTTTATTTTGTAGTTACACAACTAGAGGATCAGTTGTTTCTTGTGTTTGATCATGTGACCATAATTTTTGATATCCCATGATTTCAATGTGGAAACCAGCTGTGGAAGTTGATAATGTCAAACTAACTGCTGTTATTAGCTGCCCAGTTGTGTCACTGCAAAACTTTGTTGTGTCATTTCAGTTTACTTCCTTTTTCTCCTGACTGACAAATAAACCTTTTACAGAAGTTACTTCCTTTTGAAACCGTGAATCAATATTGTACACTTTATCTAGGTTTTAACTTGATGATTCAAAGACCTGAGCAAGTGATAATCTATTGGTTAACATTTGTTACGGAGAGTATTTGAGTAATAGTGTGGAGTGATGTTGAGAATTTGTGAAATCAAGCAGGATTTTTGTTATAGGGATCTGTGTTTAATTGGATTTAAATATTTAAACAGGATTTAAATTGATATCGCTATATATTTTGTAAGTATAATTGATGTGCATGCTGTTTTTCTGTTGATTTTTTTTATTACAAGTTTGTATAATTTTTATTTGTGTTGATGAATTTTGCATTTAATGGTGCCGAATTATTTTTAAAGAATTAGTATTTTGAGTTCTTCCTAAATGAATCTTTCTTTGAATGGACTTAGTTTTGTTGGAAAGGTTCATTTTTTCTGGCTTCATAACTTAAGTATATGCATCGATAGAATTAATTACGAACGTAAACAAAATTAGCACAAGATCTGCATGGACGCTGACAAGGACACTACAAACACACACTCCGCTACATACTACACACGTCCTACATGCTAGAATGTTTTTTGGGTATTCCACACTTCCCCCTGATAACATGCGTTTCCTGTATTCTGTCAATAGAAGTGTCCAGGTCGCCGGTCGAAACGCCGATGCATACGGAGGAATGTGAGACAACACCTCACAAGCGCAAGCTCTCCTTCTCTGTGTCACCAGGTAAGTGCATTTCGTCTAAATTTGAAGTTGCGAGACTTCGGCTTTCCCATAAAGTGAACAGCCCACAATGTGAGAAAACTTGAAAGTTGCAAGACTTAGCTATCGGATAAATATTAAAACATAATTGTTATTTTGTATGAATGAGACAGAAACTGGCTCATATTGTTTTGACTCTTTACCAAAAAATAAGCAGGAACAAGGGTTTTAACTAGAAGAATATAAAATTTTGGTCGAGTTAAATAGAATATAAAAGTCCTGTAGGATGTATGACTACATAATGTTGATAACGTTCTATACTTACTGTTTCTCTGTTGATCAGAGGCCATTGAGCTGCAACAGCAGATTCAGCAGACTTCTTCAGGAATGTTCCAGCTACCCCCCGGGACCCTGCCCCCATTGGCCAGCGATGTGATCATGCAGGTGGACCCTGAGAGTAATGACACCAACACAAGCCCTGTGGACAAGCCGAATGAATTATTTGGGAATGTGGGGATCACCATGTCCTCATCATCATCGGGTCCAATGGACCAGCAACAGACTGCCACAACCATCCAGTCACTGCTGGCAAGTGACCCAGATCAAGCCTCAAACTCTGCCAGTAATGAACTTGTCAAAATGGCTTTGGAGGAAATGAAAAGTCTGCAGCAGCAGACAGCATCACAACAACCACCACTACCACCACCACCCGTACAACAAGAACAGCAGCAGCAGCAGCAGCAACATCAACAACAGTTACAACAGCAACAATTACAACAGCAACAATTACAACAACAGCAGCAATTACAACAGCAACAACAACAACAGTTACAGCAACAGCAACAATTGCAACAACAACAGCAACAATTGCAACAACAACAGCATCAACAACAGCAAACTCCTGACCAAAAGCCAGTCATGCAACAGATATCTGCACTGCTGCAGGATAGCAACATGCTGAACTTTACTTCAGCGGGTTTGGAATTGAACAACTTACCATTCTTCAATCCCATCCAGCCTACCAGTCCTATATCTCCACAACAAGCTGCGCCAGACATGCAGCAGCAACAACAGCAGATGACAATCGCACCACAGATGTCTATCGCGTCGCAGGTGCTGACATCTACTTCTGTGCAGGGCGTGGAGCCGACGGTTCAGACTGTGATGCAAATGCACCAGCCAGTTCAGACGACTTGGGGACAGCAGCAGCAGCACTGTTTCGGTGACAGTCAGCAGTCAATGTCTGTCCAGTCAGGCATCAGTCTCGGTGGTAACGCGCCTACCATGCAGTCCTCCCCGACGATGTCCTTCATGGGGACGTACACCATGCCGACCCAGTCACAGATGTCGACCCCTAGATTCTCCTTCATTGGCACGTCTGTCACCAACAGTTTGCCACAGGTAGCTGTCCCCAATCCCGAGCAAGTGCTGGATATCAAGCCGCCGCTGCAATCACTGGCAGCTAACTTCCAAAACAACCAACATCAGTCTACACCTGGTATGTATTAGTTTTCTCCTTCAGTCTCTTATTGAGTTCCCCTCATTATGGCGGGCGAAAAATTAACTCCTTCACCCCTGAAATTTCATAATGAACTATTCTAACCTGTGAATTGGAAGAGTTCAAATCTGTCATAAGGGGCGAATGGGTCAATACTGGCCAACAAAGCAGCCACGCTAAGTCAAGTTTTCAGTGGGTTATTAGATATATATATGCTAGTGATTGGTTTAGCTCCATTTTCATAGATTGTCAGCTGCTGCACATACATTGATAATCAGTAATATTTGGTTTTATATACTAACCTTAGAATCATTAAAGTTGTGTGGTCCTGTTGTTGAAATTAAACAAATTTTGAATAAATGTCTTAAAGTGGATTTTTTTGTGGTGTGGAAATGTTTTGGGGGGTTTTCCTGTTGAGTAATTAGCGCGAAAATATCCACAAGCGATTATGTATTTATAGATAATGTTTATAGATAAATGGAATATATATAGGTATCAGACCAATGTGAAAATTGAATGCTGAAGCCTACAGGTCATCAATAGCTTTTCTAATAGGTGAATTATACATAATCTGAATAAACTAGTCTAAATGAAAAATCATACTGATTCAAATAATTTCCGAGATATGGAAATGCTGTACTGCATCATTTGAAAACTGATGTAATATAATAGTCTTGTTTACCCTGTAGTAGCCTCTGTGTCATCCATTGCTGGGCAACCGTCGTTACAACAAACATGGAACCAGCCTCAGCAGCAACAACAACAACAACAACAGCAGTGCTTAAATGATACACAACCAGCCACTAGCATTGGTAAGTTGTCTTAATTGCTTGGTAAGTTGGTAAGTTGTCTAATTGCTTGGTAAGTAGTTTAATTGCTTGGTAAGTTGTCCAATTATTTGGTAAGTTGTCAAATTGCTTGGCAAGTTTTATAATTGCTTGGTAAGTTGTCCAATCGCTTGGTAAGTTGTATGATTGCTTGGTAAGTTGTTTAATTGCTTGGTAAGTTGTTTAATTGCTTGGTAAATTGTTTAATTGCTTGGTAAGGGTTGGTAAGTTGTCAAATTGCTGGGCAAGTTGTTTAATTGATTGGTAAGTTGTCTAATTGCTTGGTAAGTTGTTGATTTGCTTGGTTAGTTGTACAATTGCTTGGTGAGTTGTCCAGTTGCTTGGTTAGATGTCTAATTGCTTGGTAAGTTGTTGAATTGCTTGGTAAGTTGTCTAATTGCAAGGTAAGTTCAATTGCTTGGTTAGTTTACAATTGCTTGGTTAGTTGTACAATTGCTTTGTTAGTTGTCAAATTGCTTGGTAAGTTGTTGAATTGCTTGGTTAGTTGTACAATTGCATGGTAAGTTGTCTAATTGCTTGGTTAGTTGTTGAATTGCTTGGTTTGTTGTTTAATTGCTTGGTTAATTGTACAATTGCATGGTAAGTTGTCTAAAGTATAAAAATATCTCGAATGAGTTTGTGCTTGAGGCACGGTGCCTAGGTCAAGAGCACTGTCACTATTTCTGTAAAACAAATATTGTCGTCATTCCTCGCTTCATTACTGCATATTTGTATCATTTGCATTGTTGCTTGGTTTCTTTTAGCACCAAGTACATCACAGGCAGGCCAGGGGTCATCCCCACAGATCATCATCTGTGGCTCCAACTCGACCAATGGTTTCTCTACTAGCCTGAGTGGTCTTGTAGGAGGACAGCCCACTCAGCTTCCCCTACAGCAGTTGCCCCCAGCACAGCAACAGGCACAACCACAGCAGCAGCAGCAGCAGCAAGCTCAGACACCGTTAGGGCCAATTGTGATCCTACCTGGGGGCGTAGGGGGTTGTGGAAACAACCAGCAGGGTAGGTATCTTTTACTGTTACTGTGAAATCACTCTTTTTCATGGGGTTTTTAATTTCTTTGAATTCATGGGTAATCTTCATCCACAGATTCATAGGTCCACAAAATAATTACAAGATTGACATAAATAAATTCCTATTTGAGAGGTTACTCGTAATTCATGTACCCACCAAATGGTGTTTTGTTGGGAAACCATGAAATTTGGGCCCCACGATTTATCTTATTTTGCTGTATGATGCCTTGCTGCTCAATAAAATTAAAAAGATTATTTCACAGATTTCAGGAAACTAGAATAATTCTATTTTAATAATCAAGAATATTTTCTTTTCTTGATTTTTTTTCTCAGAGGATGAAAAAACAACATGTGTCATTGTACGAGATGGACATTCATCTGTTTTAAAATCTCTGTGATAAATTAAAAACAAAGAGCAAGTTTGAAGTCCTTTATTACCAGAATATTTGTCTTTATATCACTATTTTGCTTCAATTTTTATAATTCAAAATGTAATTAGCTCACCTGGTCCAAAGGACAACTAGATTTTATCCTAATTTAGTCTGGAACATCCCCCTGGGGGCAGAGAGGTGGGTCTGAATAGGGGAAACAGAGGTTAAACCTTTTAAATCCTTCTTCTACCATAAGGATGAAGGGATTTCATCCAAATTTGGTCTGGAGCATCCTTGGACCAAGGGGACTCATTTTTGTATAAACAATGAGTTTGGACCCCCTGCGGGCAGAGGGGCGGGGTCGAATAGGGGAAATAGAGGTAAAACCTTTGAAATTCTTCTCCTACCATAGGGATAAAGGGATTTTATCCTAATTTGGTCTTGTGCCAAGATGACTCAATTTTGTATAAATGATACGTGTGGCCTTTCTGGATGCAGAGGGGCCGGGCTCAAAAGGGGAATTTGACGTTAAAATCATTAGAATCCTTCTCCTTCTTTACAATTGGAGGAATTTATTCACATTTGACCTGGAGCATCCTTGGGCAAAGGGGACAAAATTTTGTATAAACTAAGGGTGTGGCCGCCGCCCCCCTCTGGGTGCAGAGTTGCGGGGCCCAATAGGGGAATTTGAGGTTTAAGTCTTTAAAATCCTCCTTTCTCTGTACCATTTGAGTGATTTCATCCACATTTGGCCTGGAACATCCTTGGGCAAAGGGGACAACATTTTGTAGGTGCAGAGTTGCGGGGCCCAATAGGGAAATTTGAGGTTTAAATCTTTAAAATCCTTCTTCTGAACCAATGGAGGGATTTTATGTAATATAAAGAATAATTTCCGATAGCTGCTTTATTATCCAGGTGAGCGATACAGGCCCTCTGGGCCACTTGTTGTATTTAAAAGAGAAATTAAAAAGAAATTTCCAATTAAAGAAAAACATGTGATGGTATGAAAATTAATCTTTTTGTTTTATAACAGTGGAGAACATCCTACGATCCATCATCAGCAGTCTGTCTCAGCAGCAGCAGCAGCAACAGCCCCAGCCTCCCCAGTCTTGATCAGGACAGTGATGGGCAGGACAGAGCATGCTTCAGTCGGGGTCATTCAAGGTTGACCTCTGGTCAAAGGTCGGGGTTCAATGTAAAGGGCAGCATACTGGTGCTGTCTGAGGGGAAATGAGTGGTTTGTCTCACTTTTTCCATATACTGTGTATGGAATAACGGGAGTCGGAAAAGACTGTAAATCCACTTTTCCTACCCGAACCTCACCGGAACTCTCGGGGAAACGACTTTCATCTTCCCCTGCATATCATGATGTCGAACACAAAGTCGCTGATTTGTGTGTACCAATTACAGTGTGCTGCAAATATTTTTGTTGTAACTATAGAGTTTGAGACTAACTATAGTTTGAAAGTGATATTTTACTACTAAAGACAACCTAGTTTGATACACTGACGCTGTAAATCGTGTGTGAGGATCTATTAGCTTATTTGTGCAATGTTTACAAGCTTTAACCATATAAAAAGCTATTTTTTTGCTACTTATTTTCAAATTAGTAAGTTTTCATTTTGCATTATTGTGAAAGAAAGGTGCACAATTTTATTTTTTTGTCTAAGAGTGTAAATCATGAATGCAGTTTTGTAACGGAGGCAATGTGGCACAAGTAGTTTTGAAACATTTTTGTCTCGATTGTGAGTTGTAGAATTAACACCATTTAACTTTTAAAAAAGCCTATCTGGCATTTGAATAGGATCACACATAGTGTGGAAGAACACACTGAATGGCTTATGGATAATTGTAGCTACCATCTTATGCAATTCCTTGTTAAAGATCAAGAAAAGAACAGGGACCAAAGATTCCGCTTCGCCCCGCATTACTACAATACTAACAGCTATAAGTAAGGTAAGATCTCGAAAAATGGGGCAGAAATTTTCTTCAAAAAAAATGCATCTCCGCGGTAAATCCGCTTGTATGGATCTCGATAAGGAAGGAAAAATTGTCTGTGAAATATCGGCACGAGAACAGGGGCCAGAAAAAACAACTGATAGACGAAAAGTTTGTCTTCAAATATGATAATGTGTTTGAATTGAGGCTCACATCTCAAAAAACAAGTCATGTTATGAAAAGCATTTTTGAAATTTGATCAAAAGTATCGACAATTTCATAATTTAAGAATTAAAATGAATGTACACCCTCATTGAATGAACTTATAGGTATACTTAAAACAAGGAAAGTAGAATAGAATTAGAGGGGAGAAAATGCTTTTTAAAACATGCATCATTGAGTACCATTAATTGAGTGGGTGTCGACCAACCATCATGTAGAAAGACACTCCATTTTTTTTTGTCCGCGTACCAATTAAGAAGGGGTTGCCCAGCTTTGGATAAAAATACAAATATATCTTGAACAATACTTATGTTTTTAATATTATCTATGTGTACTTTTCGAGCATAACCAGTATTTTGCGAGTCAATGTGTTTATTTTGATGATGATTGTTACTATTTGAACTCTATATTTGACGCTGTACATGATACAATATACACGTTCTATAAGCTGCAGAGCTAGAATCTGTAGCATGTGATATATGTAAGACCTAGTCTTGAAAAGTTTACTGTAGTCTACACTTCTACAATAGTAGCTTTCTGTAAGCATGGTTATATTCAGTCGGACTTGGTAAAATATAATATTAATTATATCAAGACACAACATTTTTTAAGTCTAATGAAAAATACTGGAAATCTGGGCAAAAGCTGAAGTTCGGACTATTCCAGTAAAATATCTGATTCACAGGGAGATTTCATGTCTTTTCAAATAGGACCATGACAGAAATTATTTATCAGAGTTCCCTGGATTTTTGAACTGATTTGCTTTATTTAGTGACCACCCATAGAATAGCGTCACTGTTGACCCCCAAATTTAGAAATAAATATACACAAAAAGTAATGTAGGTCTAATATTTCATCTTCAATATTTAACTCATTCACCCCGGAAGACGCTTTTGAACTCTTCCGATTCAAAGATTGGAATAGTTCATTATGAAACTTCAGGGGTGAGTTGAGTTACAGAAAGTGTGTCATTTGATACTGGTTGAAGTATGCTACTCCTGTAGCGACTTTTAACAACTTGAAATCCATATAGAAAATTGGATTTTTTTGGTTCTTTTCTTCTGTCATTTTATGTAGATTAAAATATTTCAAACCTCAACTCACCATCCATACAATTTCTATATTTTACTGTCAAAGTGAATATATATTTTACTTGTGTAGTCCTTATTTCTAGCCCTAACTCATTCCCCCCTGAAATTCCGTAATTAACTAGTCCAACCTTTGAATTGGAAGAGTTCAAAAGTGTTTTAAGGGGTTAGGAGTTAAATTAATGTTTGGGATCACATATTATTTACCTGTATATCTATCACCTGCATGAAGATGTACAACTATTACCTGTATGTCATCAGCGTTCAGGTATTTATGTCATCAGCGTTCAGGTATTTTAAATATTTACCTGTAAACAGGTATATAAATAGTGCTTGTATGTCACTTGCATATATACAGGTATACACACATTATTTACCTGTATGTTGCCTTCATACCACCTGCATACAGATGTATGCCTCTTCCCTGTACATTGCCTGTAGACAGGTATACACTTGTTATTTACCTGTATCGCCTGCACACAGGTAGACACATATTTACCTGTATATCGCCTGAGAACAGGTAATCTCATAAATCACCTGCATACAGGTACGCAAATCTTCAGTTTAGGATATGATATGACATAATTTAACTGTCAAAGTTGATAAATTCATCGTAGCATGTAGTGGTATTTCAAATACTGTCAAACATGATACAAAAACATTTGACCTATATTTATTTTGTCAAGTTAGGATATGGAAGGGACAAAAGAATATAAAAAAAAATCCGTCAATTAAGATTGACGGATATTAAAAGGTTTTTTGATTTAAATGATTTTCTCATACATTATCCCACAAACAGGTATTTAACATAAACATTTTAGAATATGTATCAATGATGTGTATGGTGAAATCACACATGTCGCCTCCATAGCTGTCTTTAGTTACATTTGCATTAGTTTTTTCAGGTTGTTTATAAATCATCTCTGGGAATTTAATTCAATGATTATAGGTCATAAAAAATTTGGAAAAATACTTTTTGTTCCATTTTCGTCTTTTTTTTTCCCTGTTTATATTTTTACCCATTTTAAGTGTAACATTAACTGTAACATGCATTTTGAAATTATATGAACACCAACCAAAAACTATTGTTCACTAAAATGTTAGACCTACAGTACCACTGTGAATTAATTTCTTATATATACGAAGCATTCACGATGTGTTTAGAGGCTAAAATTCTATTGGGTCTGTAATACACTTTGAATGCAAACCAACATTTTTTGTTATAGCCTATATCCAAAATATTTTCTGGTAGAATCAAATTGTTTAAAGGTATAGGAAAAATGTTATTCGCAAGGAAATATACCGGTAAGGTTATTTACAAGCAAATTGAACAAATTGATCAAATTGATCATTAGAATGTATTTCAGTAAGTCTGTTTAGTTTGGACTGAAATAGACTTATTCACCCCTGAAGACACATTTTAACTCTTCAAATTCAAAGGTTGAAATAGTTCATTATGAAATTTCAGGGGAGAACGAGTTAATACAAAATTCAAATAAATTTAAACAAAACAATCAACCCTTTCATCCCTTTGCAACTTTAGTAGACTCTCCCATGCATTGATCTGGGTGAGTCCATTATGGTTTACAGTGGTGAAAGGGTAAACAAATGAAGAACTGGAGACAGAAACAAGTGTCTCAGACATATCTGTATCTGTTTCGTCATACATGTTCAGTGTCCCAAACTGACGTTTCCATGGTTACAGAAATTCTTGGTATATGTGCACAATTTTGTAAAAGGCAGCTGTTATGTGAAATGAATGATGTTTAAAAAATCATGGATGTTTACAAATGTTTTGTTGTAAACATGTTTGTTAAGGTACATATTGTCATTAACATGGATGTTTATGTATAGGTTTTATCAAAAACATGCATGGTCATTACTGACATGGTGTCGAGGAAATACATGTTTACTTGCGTGTTGTCAAGGAAATACATGTTTACTTGCATGTTGTCAAGGAAATGCATGTTTACTTACATATTGTCATATGTTTGTGTGATAATGTATTTCCATAAACATGCATGTTTACTTGTGAATAACGGTAACAAAATTGTTCCTGTCAACAACAATCCAGTATTTTATTTATGTTTATGTTTGATTTTTTTAAATCTTATTTTTTAATGTTTTTCATTGTGGTCATCATTTTGGAGGAAAAAAACTTATTTATACACTTTTTGATGGGGAGGGATGTGGAATTATACTAAACCATTTGGACCAAATCTTTTTTCAATGCAAAACTGATTTCAGATAAATTGTATTTGGTGTTTGACTCGAAAAGTTATGTAATAAGAACTCGTGCTTTAAAACAGAGCCAAAAAGAAAAGAAACAGTACAATTTTTTTTATATATAGATATATATTTTCATGAGAGAAAGCATTTTTTAATTACAATCATAAACAAAGTGTTTGTGAATCAAAATCTTATGTTGATTAAGTCATTTGTTTGAATGTAAATAAAGTATAGATATAAATATATATATAAAGTGAGTGTGATAATGTATATATACTGTACATATGCTAAATACTCAGCACTGTCCATTTCTGTAATGCCTTTTGTTTACTGGTATTTCGGTGGATGATTTCAATCGGTCCTGTTGCCTGTGACATCACTTTCTGTCCGGGACGGTTTTGTACCATAGAATATGCTAACTCTTATTTAAATACAAGGTGAAGATTTTTTAATTTTTTTTGTGTGATTTACTAATTGGAATACAATAGATTTTGATCAAATTTAAACTTTAAAGTATCTGCAAAATAAGTATTTATTAGAATTTCTAGAAAATTTTAAAAGGAAATTCTAAAATAAAATCTCCTGTTACAAGTTAGTTTCGGAATTTTGTAAAATATCGTTTATGAAAAAAGTTTGAAACCATGGACAAGGGAGAAAATTGAACCAGTGTGCTTGTAGTAATACAACTGTGATAGTTTGTATATCTGAGGAAAAAGTCATTTGTCTAAGTGTATATTAACTTGTTTTACCAGGGAACAGTATCAAGTCATTTTTGATGATCAACTAACCTTGAAATCTTGGAAAAAGAGTAACTTTTGGTACTGTGAATTTTTTTTCATGGGGCCGAATTTTGTGGTGAAAATACAAATTTGTGGGTTCATGATTTTGTAGATTACAAGTACCCACTCATTAGGAGAAAAGCTTTATGTCTATCTTCTAATTATTTCGTGGACCTATGAATTTGTGGATTGAGATTATCCACAAAATCAGCGAAATTAAAAACCCACGAAAATTAGTGATTTCACAGTATATGAAGTATATAAAAGTGACTTGACATGAAAATTTGTAGAAATAAAAAACATAATTTGGAGCATATCGATGGATGGTAATGTGTACTGGAGCTATTCTTGAATTAACTGTGATCAGTAAGAAACGATTGTTTTTGTCCCGATTTAAAAAAAATATTAGATTATTTGGATGGCGTGCATACCTTTTCTGTTTTAACGTGCTGACATGTGTTGCTTTGCCTGTTCCGATGTGATAATTGTGTATGCACTTGTATAAGTATACTTCAAAGAGTTGTAAATATTTTTCTTGCAAGAGAAAGCATCTGATGATGTCGAATGTTACTATAGAAATAATCGCTTTTTGTTACCGTTTGATTATGAGAAATTGTTGTTTTATGGCTGTGTGATGCTTATTTGATTAATTTGTCCAGTTTTGTAGTATGAAGGAACTTCACCTGTACCAAAATATCTTCCTCTCATCCTCCCGAATGAAGTGTACGTATTATTTTACCTGTATGCAACATTCCTCGCTCTCCTCCATATTTACGTGTACATATTTTTATTGGTACACTTTTATCATCTCTGTAGCCATCTTTATCCGTAGCTTACATTTCTTCCATCCTTCCATTTTCTTGGAGGACTTGAATACAAGATAATTTGTACGTAAATTAGGTATTTGATTTAAGGCGATTAGCAGTCTATACATATTCTGCTTTCTTTGAAGAGTTTTGATTAATTTATATATAAAGAAATATAAAAAATAATTATGAACAGTTTTGAAATGGGAATATTTTTTTCTCTCCAAATTTCTCTATAAATAAAACTGTCGTTTCTTCTGTCTGCTAGCTAGGGAGATATAGTGTACAGGTGTTCATGAGTAATGGACAATCAAATACATGTGTTGTCCCGTTATTCTGTCCTAACAAGTGTGTTGTCCAGTACGTCAGATGGTCAAATAATAGGTGCTGCCCAGTCATTCTCTCTCATCTCAGCTCCGTTAAAAAATGTTGAGGGGGCCGCGGTGGCCAAGTGGTTAAGGTGTCTGACATTCTGCTACCACTAGCCCTCCACCACTTGGTCGCGGGTTCCTGGCCTACGTGAGCACCAGGTACTGGCCGTAGGTAGGTGGGTTTTTTCTCCGGGAGCTCCAGCTTTCCCCCACCACCAAAACCTGGCACGTCCTTAAATGACCATAGCTGTTAAAAGGACTTAAAACATAAACAAACCGAAAAGATTAAAAATGTTGAGGTTTATAATCAGATCATTGGAATGCAAACGAACAAAAATGCCAAATTTTGACAGGTAACGAAAGTTTTTCCTGACTGTTGTTGAAGGGTTTGCCAAGTCTACAATATACAGTTTGATTTCACGCTGGTATCTTTGTATGTACATAGAAAAAATACAAATCCCGTGCTAGGGAATTTTGCAGGTTCAGGTCCTTAATATTAGGCGTTACCCGATTTGAAATTTGTATTGGCGCATTGAGCGTTTTGGTCTGTTTGTAATATCGAGAACACTGTTGATTTGATTCTGATTTTGAGTTATTTTAAGAGCTCTGACAAAGATAGAAATACTGGACACCAATGGAAATGTTTCGTCCCTAAAACCGTTGATCGATTTTGTATATATATATCAGTATTCACTATCAACATGAGGAGAGATTTGACTGGAACCCGCGTCCATCTGCCTGAGAGAACTACTGGTAGATGATATTGTTACACCTTTATATAAACAAACAAATGATGAACATTTCCTGTTATATAAGCGTGTTGCTATGGTCTGGGAAACGTTTCTTGGGTCATTTACGTCAGTAACAATGTAGGGTCACCATGCAGAGCCGCTTCAGTTGACGTCACCGCAGTGAGATGGACATAAGTAGGGTCAGACGTCATCAGTCACATTTTCGGCCAGTAGGAATGTCTGAACTCGTCTATGGCTTCTGTGGTTGACCGAAGGGTGTGACCTAATCAAACGCTTCTTTGGCCAGTAATAGGATCTGACCTTAACTCATTCACCCCTGAAAACACATTTGAACTCTTCCAATTCAAAGATTTGAATAGTTCATTATGAAATTTCAGGGTGAATGAGTTAACGATGACATTTGTGGCAGAGGGGGAGGGGGG